CACCGTGTTTCTAATATTGTACATGTGTTCTGCAGTGACATGAACGCCCCCTTCTCGAAATGGTCGTGTGATCAGGTGTGTGCATGGATGGAAGAGTTTGGTCTGGGTCAGTACGTGAATATGGCCAGACAGTGGGTCACTAGTGGTCAGACTCTACTCTCTGCCTCCTTGCAGGACATTGAGAAGGTGAGAGATACTTCATTCAAGATTTTAGCAAAAGACTATGGGCTAAAGCAATAAGAAATTCAGACCTGTGGCTTACAGCAACAATCTGATTTCCTCATTCAACACTGTGAAGTGATTTGGCTATGGCTCTCGCTTCAGGTGGTTGTGGTGCCACTCAAATCCTGGTTTGGTTCTACCTGCCAGGGCGACTTTAACCTCTGTTCCGCGCCAGTAATGCTGCATGACTTAGTAATTTGTTCTGCCATCAAACCCACTCAAATTAATGTTCAGCTTTGGTTTTTAGTGAATCTGAACCATTATAGCATTTATGTGAGGTTTTATTTAATTGAACATTTCAAAGTGTTTGTTTTCATTTCTTGATAGTGATAACTCCGTTACCAAAGAAACAATATGCTGTCGCAACCATTTTGATTTCTGAATTTTATTTTTATTTTTTTCACATGTAGGAGCTGGGAATTAAACATCCGCTTCACAGGAAGAAGCTCCAGCTGGCTCTGCGCTCCTTCAGCACCAAAATCACAGAGAAATCTTCTGAACTGGACCACATCTGGGTCACACGTATGTACCCATAAACCACTCTTATAAGACAAATGCGGACAATTTTCATCATTCTGCATATGCATCACATTTGTTTTAGCACATATGGAGGACCAGTGCTGTAAAAAATAAAATAAATCAGTCCAAAATATTAATTAAAATATACAAATGTAAACAAATAAATCATCTTTCCAAATGAACAAATACACAGAATTGATGTTTAATTTTTTTTTAATGCAACATTTAAATTGTATTTATGAAGGGCTTTTTATTAACTACATTTTAAAACATGAATTAAACTTTTAAATTTGTATATTTACTTGTCAAATTAAAGTTATTTATTTGCTTTTTTTATCGTTAATTACTTCACTTTAAGTGACACTCCTTAAGTTCTCCATACATACATATATTTTAGATAATGTAAGTACAAAATTGCAGTTACACTCTGTATAAAGAAACTGTTATTTCTACACAGGGTGGCTGGATGATATTGGTTTACCACAGTATAAAGACCAGTTTAGTGAAGGACGTGTGGACGGTAGAATGCTGCAGTACTTGACAGTGGTAAATATCTTTCTTAACTTCCTATAGTGCCTTGCCAATCAAGTTGGAGGACTAGAATGAACTAATATATCATATGTGATCAATATTGGTATTTTGGTTTCATTTTCAGAATGATCTGCTGTTCCTGAAAGTCACCAGTCAGCTCCATCATCTTAGCATCAAGTGTGCAATCCACATCCTACATGTTAACAAGTTCAACCCCAACTGCCTCAAAAGAAGACCTGGAGATGAGGTGTGGATGAAATAAACAGAAACAAAGAGAGGGTGATTTACTTCCAGGACTGATATTGCTCGTTATTTATATGCTAATTCATGTTGTTTGACAGAATAAGACATCGCCTTCTGAGGTTGTTCAGTGGTCCAATCACCGTGTGATGGAGTGGCTCAGATCGGTTGACCTGGCAGAATACGCTCCCAACCTGAGAGGCAGCGGAGTGCATGGAGGACTCATAGTGAGTAACTCACATTACACATTCTCCTGCTACTCCTAAATGAATTCTTATGGGCTCTTTTCACAACCAGTAAGCAGCCATCCAGACCACCCAGCAAATGCATAGCAGCACACTAAAAACTACTCAGAACAGCATAGTAACTGCAGATCTTTTTTCACAGATCTTGGAACCTCGTTTTAACTCCGACACACTGGCGATGCTCCTGAACATTCCCCCTCAGAAGACTCTGCTGAGGAGGCATCTGGCCACTAATTTCAACATGCTGGTGGGCTCTCAGGCTCAGTGGGAGAAACAAGAGTACCTGGAATCATCAGGCTACACGCCGCTAACCACCAC